CCCTGATTCCTTTTATTGGAGAATGGTATTTAGAAATCAAATGTGAGTGCTGGGTGGTCATTGTCTTTTGAGAGAAAGGAGACATAAAAAGTGAAAAATGTTGTGTGTAATGTACAAAGAGCTATGGAAACAGGAATGAGAGTGACTACATCTACCAAGGGAAATCTTCACTGAAGAAATGGTATTTGAAGTTGAGTAGAGTTTTCTAGATAGAGGTCAGGGTTGCGAGAGTGGGAGGATAAAGGGGTGGGAGGAAATATATGTTAGCAACATCAAGGCCATTTGGCTTTTTAATGTGATCTGATTTTAGACTTAGAATGGTAGTGGCCCTTCTTTGATTTTCTCAGTACATAAACATTAGCCATTTTCATAGACCATGTTTCCATAAGAGAGGATTTTCTCTGTGTCAGCCCTCACAGTTGACTTTCCTCCCTTCATCCCTATTTTCCTTCCAGTCTTTCTTCCTTTTAAATGTGTCTAGTTCTACCCCCTGCCAGGCCCAATGCAAGGGGGTGCAGAGAAGAATCTGACAGCTCCTGCCATCAAGAAGTTCTACAGTCTAGAATGAGATCCTTTTGCTTTCTTCTCTTCCCTTTAGCCACTTCACCAAGTGTCTAATTTTTAATCCTTTGCAGAAAGCATAAAAAAGCAAAGAGGAAGTATTAGCAATGTCTTTATTATGAATCTGAAATGATACTTGACTCACTGAGAAAGTCTTTTCTGTTCACAGATAACAATTGGTGTATATGATCCCTGTAACTTAGCCCAGTACCCTGGATGGCCTTTGAGGAATCTTTTGGTCCTAGCAGCTCACACATGGTATTTACAATAGTGTATATTTGTGTCTGTCTGTCTGTCTTTGTCTATACATTTTTGACAGTGTGCCTGCCTATGTCTGTATCTCTGTCTTCCCAAATGCGTTTTTTCAATTCTGGCATGGAAACCAGATAATAAATCAATAGATCAGTTATGATCCAGTTTCCATCACTGATGAGCCCTTATGCAGGTCAGTTAGAGAGCTGCAGAATCTGATCATACTTTACAGAAGATATATGAGACTAGGGTGGGGTGGATAGCTAGGGGTCCTGACACTGAAATTCTGTAGCCCTCACTTCTAGCTGTCTGGGTTGGTTTTAGATCGGATTTTCCTGTTGCTACCGTCCTCCTTTTCTCCTAACCCTATAATAATTTAAACAGAGGGTATCTAAAAGGCCAATACACATTTGAAAAGATGCTCAACATCATTAGTCATTGAGGAAATAAAGTTAAAACCATAATGAGATACTACTACATACCCACCAAAATGACTTAACAAAAACGACCATACCAAGTGTCATCGAAGATGTGGAGCAATTTGCAAGTGCTGCTGGAAAAATGTTTGGCGGTATCTGACAAAGTTAAAAATATCTGTGGCTCAGTGATTTCACTGTCAGGTATATACACACAGAAATGTATATGTAGATACAAGCAAAACACATATACAAGAATGTGTATAGCAGCATTATTCTTGATAACCAAAAACTAGGACTAGCCCACATTTCCTTCAACAATGAAATGGACAATAAATTGTAGTGTA